TGTGGTTCTAGTCCTGGACCCGACAGTTTAAACTCACGCTGGACGCGTGTGCGTTGTGTACCCAAGATCCCGAGAGGAGAATGGAGGAGAAGGGATTGAGGTGTGGCCATCCCCCCTGGGGGGTAATTTCTGCTTTCTGTCTCTCTCTGTCTTTCTGGTGAGCGCACGTGCCCTATAGCAAAAAACTCTTCAAAAAAACCCCCACAAAAACAAAAACAAAAGGACCAGCTAGTTCCAGAAATGAAAGGGCGTTTCTCCTACCCACCTAATCGAGCTTCCTCTTTTGCTGACTCCCAGACACTTCTTTGACTTTCTACACATCGTTCCCAATCGCAATAGTAATCATAACGACAATAGTCACTAAAATTTGTCCCATGCTCTATTAGTCACAAAGAATTTGCATCATTTTATTTGTTCCTGCAAAGTAAGGCCAATTTTTCTTTTGTAACGCTTGACTTCAGCAGCTGCCCTGCTTAAGATACAAAACTCTCAGGTCTTCTGATTCCAAATCCAAGTCCAAGTACTTTTTTTGCTGTGTTAAATTATTCCCAAACGTCAATTGTTGGGATGTCCAGGGACAAAGTTGTCAACTCGGAGGAGGGTGGATCCAATCCAAGTGGAACTCAAATATTCCAAAGCAACTCATTAGGGTAGTCCTTGCAGGGACCTCGAGAGGAAGAATTCCAGTTGTCTCCAGTTAGGCATTAGGAAGACAAACAACTTGATTCTACATATCTTTTCCTTTTCCCTAGTTATGTGAAAAAAAAAAAAAAAAGAAAAAGAAACGGGAGAAGAAGCCCCCAAGTATCAAGACCAGACATAGTTTTTGAATATTTTCACACTACAGAATAATTTGGCTGTTACTATGAACAATTAACATTCAGTTGTCAAGTTAGAGCCTAATGTAAAACGTTTAAAAGTTAAAAATAAACAATCACATTTGCTCTATAATAGGATTAACTTAGTTATCTAATCAATTATTTTGGAAAGTTTTAATAATGTTAATGGCTAAGAATGCTAGGGCAACTAACTGTGAGACAGCAGATACTGCATTTACAAGCATTATGTCCTTTCATTCCTCGTGATTCTGTTTTTAGCCACATGGGGATGAGAAAAGTGACTGAGAACATAGGAAACTTGCCCACATTGGTAGAGTCACTTCTTGAACCTGGGTCTGTATTACGCCAGAGTCCTTTACCAAGCTGGCTTGCCCTACCTTGGCTATATCCTATTTCTCAGTTGACTTGCCACTGTTGTACTATATTACTAATTGTTTATCTAACTCAAACATAGCTTAGTTTAGAAAAGATGGGATGGGATGAGTTCCACAGCCTGGTAGTAAAAGAAGTGTTCACATAGCCAACCACGAGGATCAAGTCCTGGATCCAGTGACTTGGGAATCAATCTGGGTGTGTGCATGTGTGCCCAAAATTTTGAAAGAAATGAGAAATAGATGAGAATATATTTTTTAAAAATGAAGCTTTTAGATGTATGATTTTTGCATTCCAAGATGTATTACAAAAATGTTAATATTATTTACAATAGGGAAGGATGAAAAATTTAAATGGTTACCAAAGGAAACAAATAAATTATAATACATGTGTAAAATAGAATACTGTGCAACCATTCAAATAAATTAAATAGATATTGGTATGGTAATATTGTTAAGTGAATAATCACAGTGTGTTTAGAATGTTACCAAATATTTTTCAAAGGGTCACATACAAACTCACTCATAATAGAATATCACTAGGAAGTCTTATAAGATATTGGTGTTAATTGACTCTAAAGAGAATAACTGTGAATCAGAAGATAAAGGCTACTTTTTACTGTATAATTACTTCTGTTATTCTAATTATTTGTCATAATGTACAGAAATTTCTTAGGAGTATTTTAACACTGATAAAAATAGTAAGTATTTGATTAATGTTTGCTGAGTTGAACAACAATTAGAACACATGGGTCTGACTGGTTCTGTAGCCTAATGGTTAAGGCAGTCAAACCCCACCTGCAGTTGGAGTTCTGAACCCATGGCTTGACAAACATGCTGGGTACATGTGGGTGCATGCCCAAAATCCCAAAAGGAGGATGAGATGGAAGAGAAAGGATTGTGGTATAAACATTTCCCAGGGGTGGTGTTTTCTTCTCTCCTCTCTCTGTCTCTCCGTAGCAAGCACATGCATCCTCTAGCCAAAAACAAACAACAAAAACAAAACAAAACAAAACAAAACCCCGATATTCCCTGTTAATTCAGAAGGATTGAACTTAGAATCAGACAAAAATTCTAAATACGGCTCTAATAAACTAGCTGAGTTTCTTTGTACAAGGTCTTAATTTTCTAGCTATAATTTACTCCTAGGAGAAATTGGTGCAATAATATTTACCTAGTATCTCACAAGTTCTTAGGGATTAGATGAGATAATACACAGTAAAGAAGTCTCCAAATTATAAAAATGCAAGGAATTGTTATTAATGCTGTTATTGTTACTCATCACTGAGACAGACTCTGGTGCATACTAGGAGTTCGTACAGTAAGAATGGGCAGAGTCGACTTTCTATGTCAAGCAGGTTAACCAAATATTTACCAATATTCACCTCACCTGGTACCATATTCCTATTGTTTGGTATCCAGCTGTGAAAATATTTATCACTTTATAAAGGGGAAAATATTTATTCGTAGACATGCTGGGGTGAGTCTCTGTGGTAGTAGGTAAACCATAAACCAGAGAGGAGCCTGAGTGAGACAGAGAGAAACAGCCTCTTTCTGTTGAAGAACAGGGCAAGAAAAGAAAAGGTGATGACTGAGAGCAAAGATCAGGGGCTGTCAAAGTGATCCAACAGGGACCAGCAGTTAGCATAATGGCTATGTCACTGGACTCCCATGTAGTCGAATGCAGTTCGAGTCCAGGACCTGGTGACTTAAACTCACGCAGAGCGCGTGTGCGTGCATGCCCAAGATCCCAAAAGGAGAATGGAGAAGGGATTGTGGCATGGCCATTCCTCCTGGGGGTGATTTCTCACTTTCTATCTCTCTGTCTCTCTCTGTCTTTCTGGCGAGTGCACATGCCCTATAGCAAAAACCTCTAAAAAAAAAAAAAAAAAAGACAGAAAGAAAAAAAAAAAGGGATCCAACACATCACTTGTCATTAAAACCATGAAATAGCAGAAGTGAGTAGATTTCAGAGGAAACCAGCAAAAGAGCTGAAGACAGCACTCAGGAGTCTCTCAAGACCAAAAAAAAAGAGGAAGAATCAGAGAGAGAGAGAAGCACAGGAAAATACAAACCCAAAACCTCCTGGAAATAAAAGGAAGAGTGTGGGTCCTCCACTGACGTGGATCGAGATCTGGGCCAGGTTTACCTTAGAGTGTAAAAAGGCAGGGGCCCCAGCTGACTTCAGGGTGACATACTATTTCCCCCAATAGGTCCTTGGCCATTAAAGTTCAATCCACCTTAGTGTTAGACTGCATTTACAGAACGCAACTCTAGGATAGTCAGCCCAGTGGATTGATTATCCACAATCAGCAGGCACATT